GCATATACTCTTTCTGATTGGTGTTTTGGGATTTTTAGTAAATATTCCTAGAAGTGGGATCACTGGGTCAAACAGAAATTCCATTTTTAGTTTTTTGAGGAAATTCCATACTGTTTTCCACAGTGGCTGCACCAATCTTCATTCCCACCAGCAGCAAACCAGTTTTCCCTTTTCTCCACATCCTCACCAGTACTTGTTGTTTATTGAATTTTTTTATGATAGCCATTCTGACAGGTGTGAGGTGATGTCTCATTGTGGTTTTAATTTGCATTTCTCTGATGATTAGTGACTTTGAGCATTTTTTTCATGTCTCTTGGCCATTTGTATGTCCTCTTCGGAGAAGTGTCTATTCAGGTCCTCTGCCCACTTTTTAATTGGAGTGTTTGTCTTTTGTTGAGTTGTATGAGGAGTTCATTTATCACTTAGGCATTGTTTTTTGTTTGTTTGTTTTCATCTTATTGGGGACCTAAGGAACAAAAACTGAAGGATAATCTCCCCAGGCTGCCACTGGGAGGTGAACTTCAACATCTCAGACTCTGTGCGGATTCACATAGGACCAGGGAATTCTAGACATCTGAGCTCATACCAAAACTTGTGAAATGTAATCTCTGAGTTGGGGCTTAACGATCTGTAGAAAGTATGTCTAGTGCATTGTATTATAAGAGAAAGAGTCCTTCTGATGCTAATTTATTCATTCATGAATCAAATCCTTATGACACTTAACCAGGTCTGCTAAACCGTGGGAATAAACCTTCTGCTAAACCTTCTGGTAAACCTTGAATAAGATAGTCAAAATCCCTGTCCTCACAAAATGTGCACATTCTAGTGGGGAGTGACAGACTATAAACTCGTAAACAAATCGATGACGTCACAATTTCAAGTTATGCTGAGAGCATGCCGATGCCCACCAGCCAGAGACCACCAGGAACACACTCACACAAAGTGGGGCTGACTGGCACTGGAGATATTCTGTGGGGAATTGTGGGGTTGGCCTCTCAATAATAGGGTACAAATAGAGGTTTTTTAGAGAATTGGGCTTGTGTTCAAGGACTTGGAGAATATTCCAGAAGTGTGGTTTTGCTCTGGCCTGGATGCTTGAAGACAGAGAAGGCAGTGCCAGGGTTGGCGTATTGATGCCTGAGGTGGAAAAATGAAGCAGGAGTAAGCAGTAGTAAGGAAGCAGCAGCCACTCAAACTATGTGGGAAAAGGGATATGGGATCATTTCTGTGGTTCGTCGTGGTCTTGTTTTTGTTTTTGCTCAGACATGATTACAAAGTGGTAGGTCTTGTTTATTGTCTCTGGCCATCCTCCGTAGAATGACCCTGTCTGAAGTTTACGTTCTATAAAATTGTTTACATTTAACAGGAGAACACCAAGGCATCACTGTTGGTGCCAGGGCAGCCCCAGATGAAGGCTTGTCAGTGGTTGCTTTTTGTTTTTCAAATATGAAGAAAAACAAAACAAATTAAATGGAGATATTGACTCAGGGATAAATTTTTGGGTTTTTTTTTTTTTAAAGATAGAGTGTTAAGGAAGGGCTCCATTATGCATGCATACATGTGCAGAGATCTAAATGATGTGAAGAAATAAACCATGAAAAGGCCTGGAAAACATCGTAACAATTAAAGTAATGGTTGATATGTTGTACCAATGAGGCTGAAAAATGCAGTGTCTTAAATAAGTTAGATATTCATTTCTCTTTCAACAGTCTGGTTGGTCCAGGGTGGTGAGACAGCGTTGTAGCGCAAAGTAGGTAAAGGCCTTAGGCTCTATTGATCAATGTCATCCTTAAGAGAATGGTACCCATTTGTGTGATTAAAAAAAATTCACATTTAGGAAAAAAACAATTAGCAAAAAAGCAAAATTCAGGGAATGAGGTTTCTCTTTAAGTTCTGCAGGAGCCACATGTTGTACCCATGTTTTCCACTGAGTACCTGACTAGCTCCAGCAGTCATTCCTGGTGACAGGGGGGCTGGGGATGCATCTCTAACTGGATGTCCTGTGTGCGCAGCAAAGAAGGCTTTTCTGCCAGAGAGCTTTCCAGGAAAGAGGTGTCAGCAGCTGTGAAGGCTACAACGAGGAGAAACAAGCTGGATATGTAGAGGAATAACAAGAGGCAGTGTGACTGGAGGAGAATGAGTGGAGTTAGACAGAGAAGCAGGCAAATGCCAGATTATGTAAGGCCATCTGGGACAGAATTAGGGTTTTATTCAAAGTGTAATGGAAAGACATTGTGGGATATTGAGAAGTGATGTGTGGCATTATCTAATTGTAAAACTTTTTTCAGCCATATGAATGTAGATGGATAAAAATAATAAAATGGAGAGCAGCTAGGAAGAAATTGCCATAGTCCCGGGGTGAGAACTTGTGGCTTAGGGCAGTAGTGGTGGATGTGGCAAGAAGTAGGTGGACTTGAGATGTATTTTGGGTGAAAACCCAACGAAAGTTCTTAATGGGAGAAATGGCAGGTGTGTGTTAAAGGGAAGAGTTAGGAATGATTACTAGATTTTGAGACTGAGCAGGGTGTGGGACAATTTAGGGAGATGAGGGAGTTAAGGAGTGACCCTCAGACGAGAATAGACTAATTGCCTATTGAAATGAACAGTTCCTCCATTGGAATGGAAGAGTGAGGGGTAAATGCAGGGTGGTGTTACATTTGGTGGTAAGGAAAGTATGTAATTTTCTTTTTATTGCTTTTAATTTTTAGTGAAATAATTAGAACAGCTGATGTGAGGAGACTGATGAATGTTACAACTGGGGATAGGAGAGAAGGTATACAACAAACTTCAGTGAGAATCAGAGGCAAACTTTATTAGGCAAATGTAGTAGGAGTTCTGGGTAGCACTAAGGACTTGAGATTTGTGATCAGAAAATTTAAGTGTGACTTTTCAGCAGCATTGAGTGTTTTTCTTCAGTTGTGTTCAGCTTCTCAGGTGAGACCAGAATTGGGGGAGATTGCACAGGCTTACATAACTCAGCACAGGAAGTGGAGGGACACAGGGGTGGGATTTTAATTTGGACCATAGAATCATCAAGTAACTAGCAAAGTGAGGGCATGAGTAGAAAGTGAAGAGTGAAAAAAGGTGGGACAATGGATTAAATGGGATCATAAATGTTGGAGTGAGAGTGTTAGATTATATGAACTGGAAACAAAATATGATGTTTACAGAGTAGAGTGCTTAAGAATTGAAATTTTGGGGAAGCTGAATTTATTGGTAGTGAAAAGTTCTGTGATATGACTGTGGAAGTGATTGGGTGAGATGAAATGGATAAAGTGTTTATTATCAGAAGCGGAGATGTAAGGGACTGAGAAGGAAAATTATTGAATAGATCTTCTACAAGTAGGTGGAAGTCCTCAAGGATAATGAATGAAACAAATAATTAATTAGGAGATCAGCAAGTGTTTTTTTTTTTTTTTTAAACTCAGAAGGTTAATATGTGAAATTATATTATGCTCTATAGTTTTGTAGGGGAAAAGGAAAAATGGCATGAAAGTGGCCAGAAAAACTTACACCTAGCTATTAATATGTTCCAGGCAACTTTTTCAGCATTTCACACATATTGGACTACTTTATATCCTTCTCTACTCCTCATTTACTTTCCACATTTTGCAGTTGAATAAACAAGTTAAATAAATTGTCCAAGGTTACTAGTGAATAGTGGAGTTGAATCTGGGCATTCTGACTTCAGAGCACACACTCTAGTCACTACAAAACAGTTTCCTTCTTAGGATCAACGCTTCGGCACTTTTTAATGTTGAAGCTTATAGGATAGTAAAGATGGTGGGCTGGTGGTTGTGAGAAGGCATGATTTTAACAGGAAAACCCAGAGATCAGTGGGCTGTTCTTAAGTACTACTGAGTGGGGTTTAGGCTAGGGGAGGAACAATCTCATCAAAGGACGTGGAGTTCTCAACATGTCTTAATTCCAGAACAACTTATTCCCTGATATCTTTCCTAGATGGACTAGGTTGCAGGCTATGCGGAGAGTTCTTCCTAGACCCTTGTGAGAGTCTAGGATGCCCCTACTAACAGGGAAAAGTAAGGATCGTGAAGGCTATGAGACCCACCATAAATATGGTCTCAAACAAAATTTATGAGGATTTATTTCCAGTATTTCTTTTGCTTAAAAAATTCCCTCCCAATTAGAAAAAAAAAAATCAGTCACACATATTTATTGATGAAGTTAAAAATGTAGTTATCATTTACTAAATCATAGTGGGGGGAGCCTATAAATTATAACCCTTCCAATAGAACTTAATCTTCAGCCTGCACGGTTTGGCTCAGGGGTCGAGCATTGACCCATGAATCCAGAGGTCATGGATTGATTCCTGGTCAGGGCACATGCCCAGGCTTTGAGCTTGATCCCCAGTAGAGGGCATGCAGGAGGCAGCCAATTTATGTTTCTATCTTTTTAGCCCTCTCCCTCTAAATTTCATAAAAACATATTTATTAAAAAGGTATCAGAAAAACATGTGGTCCCTATGGCTTATTTTCTCTTTATTAGCTAATAAGTTCATTTATCAGGAAAACAAATTCAGTTGAAAATTATTTATTAAGATAGGCATAATTATCAATAGTTCATTGATCATCCTTTTAAGATGATCCTATTTTCACTATTACTTCCCCATATCTGAGAGATTCAGGAGGTGAATATTGGAAAAGAACATGTTTATCTCTCAAAAACATTCAGTCAAATAACAAAAGCAATACTGTTACTTTTGGGGAGTTAATGATATTTAGGCTAGACTTTGCTGTAGGGCACTGTTATAATCTCTCACAATTTGGTTTAAAATGTCAAACATTTTGACTGTTTAAGTAACCCATTAAGTGCTTTGCCAGATTAGAAAATATTCTATATGTGACTTAATTAATATCTATTTCAGCTATACACAACATATCATGCTCAAGATCTAGATTTATTTGAAAACATTTAGTCCAGTTTCTATTAATCAGAAAAATCACATCAAATAAACCACAATTGTAGAAGAGACATTTTCACACAGATGTAATTTGATATTTAATTAAAGAAGGATGAGTCATGTTCACATGGAAGTAAAATATTTAACTTCTCAGTAGTAGTAAGAATCTCTTTTGAGTATGTAGGGTCTTCTGGGTTTATTCTTATATAGTTGCCGTTTCAGGATGTAAGGAATTTTTCTCTTTATAACTTCTTCCTTTTCATTTTTGTCATTCCTGTTATCAAGAACATCTTCCTGAATTGCCTGCAAGACAGAAAGGATATGAATGAAACTTACATGCATGAAGTCTCACATTTCAGAGTGTTTTTCTACTTCTCTGATTTACAATTCAGACAGTAAGATATGTGAATGAGGTTCAAAACAATGTGTTTTGTCCAAGAAGAGATGGCTATCAGGTGGCTGAGAATGAATGAGAACTCGACTTTTCAGTGTTCTTCCTAGTTCATCAAACTGACCTTTTTAATATGTCAAGATCACACACGAATACCTCCAGTTGAGGAAGCACATCTAATAGAACTTTGAGTATTTTTCAGGCTTCAATTTAGATGAAAATGCTATTGAAATATATCATAAATCACAACAAATACTTTTCAATCTAGTAAAATAAGTTTGGCTTGAAAGATCAACATGATTTTCTGTTCAATTAAGTTATGTACTGGAAGGACTAGAAAACCATTCCAAAGATTCATTTCTTAATCATAGAGAGAATACAAACTAACATACTTAGTCACAGAAGTTAACATATGTGGAAGTTCTGTTTAAATGGTAATGATCTCTTTAGATTGTGATGCTTAATAATGGTTTAACTGCTAAGAATGCCTGAAATCCACATATTCAATTAAATAGGAACATATCTATGAATATATATATATATATATCCCTATCATTCTGGTTTTATTTGCTTAATCTATTCAAATGCTAATAGTACTTTTTGTGTTTGTTTATAGATAAACACACATAACTTAGAGCTTCTAAGAAAACATTTTGAATTGCCTGAATTAGTTAGGCACTGCTATCACAACCACTATCAAAACTTGCCTAAACCTACCATCCATTTAAGTGTTTGGATTAAATCTGTCTTAATATATACCCCCCTTTTAAGATTGAAGGAAAAAATATTTTTTTCAACTCCAAATGTTTGAAGGACACTTTGAAGATCTGAGAGAATGTTAATTTCAACACATGATTTATTTTTTATTTAAAGATATTTTTATTGATTTCAGAGAAAAAGGGAGAGGGAGAGAGAGAGTTAGAAGCATCAATGATGAGAATCAGTGATTGGCTACCTCCTGCATGCCCCCTACTGGGGATCGAGCCCACAACCCGGCATGTGCCCTTGACTAGAATCGAACTTGGGATGCTTCAGTCTGCAGGCCGATGCTCTATCTATTGAGCCAAACCAGCAAGGTTGATTTATTCTTTTTTTATATTAATGTCTTCCTGTTACGATAATGATCAGAATTTTAAAAATTGCTGCAAATGAGAGATAACTTCATTGTATACGTATACTAGTATATTTTGCTTTTGTTTTACCTCCCAGTGTTGAAAGGCCCTGCTGTGACAGATATTTCGGATCTGGTATATTGTCAGCATTGCTTCCAAGCTAAAGTCATCCACGGCAATGGGGAATTTCCTTCTTGTAACAAGCTCCTCCTCATGAAACTCTCCTGTTTCCTCAGCTTGTCCGTCCAGGTTGTTTATAAGGCTGCAAAGACTCAGCAGAGTCATTTTCCAAGAGGGAACACTTGCCTTACTGACCTGAAATTTAAAAAAATAGATATTGCATTTAAAACTCATATGAATAAGAAACAAATTTATATTGTACTAAGTTACTATAGCTTAGAGTTAATTGTTACTTTAGTCTAATAAATACACTGTCCTTAATTTTGTCACTTCATGTCACAAAGTGGAATAATGCCAATATTCTCTAGTCTCATATTCTCTATTTTAAAAAATTGCAATCAGTAATGCACACATACATGAACAAAGCAAGAAAGAAAAAAAGAAATGACAGTAAGTAGAAATATATAAATACAGATGTATACCACAGCACGGGTGAAGATATTAAATATACCGTTCCTTCTTAATTACACTCCAGTTTAGCGTCTAATGGAGCAGGAACTAAGGTGTTACTAACAGATCTGGACAATCAGAGTAGTGAGGGACCACTAATCTATTTCACACATTGAGATGCCATAGGCAGCATCACAGCTCACCAATTTATTTGAAAATGATAATATCCTCGAGATCTTGCCTTTTACCATTATTACCATAACCAACCACTCTCCCATGTGCCAACTATAATCAATGAGAAAACATAAGGACAAAGGAGAACCTAAATGTGACATAATTAGTAAAAATTAAGAAACCTTTCAAACAGCATAGATGAAAGAAAGCACTTTTTTTTTTCTAAACGACATAAAAAATGGAATGACTACTAAGCTGTGATGGAAAGACTCAATAACAATAATTTCAGGTGTCAATTCTCTCTGAATTATCCTCCAAATATAAACCAACTGAAAATCAAAGTTCCAATTTGGAAAATATGGGGAGGCTAGAAGTTAGAAGAGGCTATTTGTCAAAATAATTATAAAGTTAATTGGCAAGTATGAATGTGTGTGTATAACCACAAAGATTTAGAAAAATATAATGGTAATAAGGAAGAACTTACTTTATCAGATATTAAAATGTATTTTAAAACTTCAGGAATTAAAGGAATGAGTTAATAGAGCATGAATAAACATAAAACTCAACAGAAGAGAATATAATGTTCAATAATAGATCCAAGTACATACGACGGTGTAGCATAGAGCACAGTTTTTATTTGAAATCCTTGGGACAGTTTGGCTGTGAGAAAATTTGATTTAGAGCTAATAATATTTTTTCTTGACATATTATAGTCTAAATATCCAGATGGATCAGATATAAATAAAATACTGTTTAAACATATACAATGCATTTTATAAGCTTGGAAAAGTATCATTAAACAAATATCCAAACCAGAATCCATAAACAAGAAGATAATTTAAATACATAAATGTGTAAATTATCTCTCTGGAAAATTAACGTCCTGAACTAAAATCAAAAACAAGCTATCATGTAAAAGCTGGCATAATGTGCTAATATTCTTAACAAAGGTAGAGCTCTTCAAAAAGAAAATGCTGAATATCCCAATTGAAAAAAGTAAATTTTAATGTTGAATAAGTAATGTGAGCAGACAAGTCACAGAATCACACAGGAAAGAAATATGTGGAATGATGTTCAGCTTGGATACCATTAGATCAGACTTTAAAAAGTACAAGTACACTCAATGGTGTACTTACGGGGACCTTTCTTAATAAAAGTATACCAAGCCAGCAAACATAATTCTATGCATACAGTAAGGATCGTTGTAGCTAAAATATGCTCATCCAATTAGAGAAGAGAAACTTGAGATGACAAGACCTGAATTGGAGCATTGCTTCAGAAATTAGACAGGAGCTTTCTTATCAAACATCCCAGGGCTATAACAGGGATTGCACCAGGTGATGCCTCACCTCAGCATTTGATTTTCTTTGAAAACATCCTTCGGATGGGAACCCCGTTCTCTAACTCTACGTTCAGATGCACACTGGGTATATCAACACAGTGTGGTAGCACATAATCAGGTCAATTCTAATTGAGTTTTATTCCTGGGTACAGGTTACCAATAGGAACCTTGTTTTCAAGACCCCAGGAGAGGAATAATAGGGCCCAGTATACAAAGTTTTACTTAATTCAGTAAAAACAATGAGCAGGTAGAGGTAACACTTCTGTTATAGGAAGAACTTAAATCCAGGCACGAATTTAATGTTAATGTCTAGGAGGTCATAACTCCAACCACAGCTTTTCAAAATAAAAGATGAATGAAAGCAAGCAATGGTAACTACCCACTTCCTTAAGAGCAAATAGTTCATAAGTCACAGTTGCAGGATTAAATCTCAAGGCTTCTGTTTGCCACTCTGTTGCTCTTTACACTCTACCACATGTCTTTCATGAATTGTCATGAACTTTCATTTTTAGTTTAGGAACTCCATTTTACTTTCCCCAATATAATAAAATAGGCAAATGTCACTGAGTTCTCATTTATCTATTTAACTTGAGGCCAATATACCTTTCATCACACACAATTTGGTAGGAATGGAAACAAGAGTCCTTTAAATCCATGTACACATCCACATAAATAATATGTGACTATTTAATTAAAGTTACAATATACTGATTGATTGCCACTATAATTTCTTTCCCTGTCACATCAACACCCTTAACTCCTTTGAACTCAAGGAAAAGTTTCCCGAAAAAGGAAATGCCTCCCAATGAACATTTCAGCCTTTATGGGAAGTTATTGCTATAGGAAAAGGACACCATGTTTATAATGAGAGTTCCTATGTTTTCCAATCCATGGCTTAAAAAAAGAAAACTTACCTTTGATGTGTGCACATTGGTCAATAAATCTGCTTCGAATGCTTTCATTTCCTCTTCTGAATCTGAGTGAAATCAAAACCACATGTTTACTATATAATCACATATCATATAATTATATCGCAGATTTTAGATTTATCTCTTAAAATTTACTCTTAGATGCATGCTCTTTCCTATATATTTGTTCTACTTAAAATAGTAGTCAGAAAAATATTTTGTAGTTTTATTTTAGACTAAGAGGCAGTCAGAGTAATAGAAGCACGTCTAAGAAAATAAGCACATGATTATATGGCAAAAGGGCTATTGATGATTTGGAGTTATTTAATCTCTAAATCTCAAAATTAAAAGAAATGATTATATCATATACTAGAAATGTCATCATATATATATATATATATATGTATGTATTAATGTCCATTAATACATGTAAGATAGCATTAAAAATTGATTTCTGATTTTTTTTAAAAACTGTCATTTCCAGTTTCCACTAATGAATATTACACACACACACACACACACACACACACACACTGAAAGGTAATAAAAAAAATTAAAGAACACTATAATAAGATGACTTAATTCAAACACACTGACATGTATCTCATAAAGCAAAGCAGAATTTAAAAAGACTCTGTCTTCTTTGCACTATACACTCTTATTAAGAAGTGTGGCACTTGGAGAAACCACTTGTTAAATTGGATCTAGGAACTAAATTATACCAGAGATCATTTTCTTCTATTATTTTTAGGGGCACAATCTGTTTTTCAAAGGAATAAAAATCCCTTTAGGCATTCATGAAAAATTTATCCTGAAATCCCCATAAATTTTGGCTTATCACAGTAAGAACTTTCAAATTTGTATAAATGAAATATTTAATCAATAATCAAGTTTTACTCACATGCTCTAAGTATACCTCTAAGCTCTTGCAACTATTAGATAAAAGCATAACTTTAGAAAATGTGGTATTTATCTCATTAAAAAAATGACAAACTCAGGAGTTCAAGGTATTTTAAAAATCAAAAGAATTACAATTTTTGATAAGATTTGTATCTTCTGCTAGATTAAATTTCATAATTTAAATAAAATCATAGAAGTTTAAATTAAACATTTCAATGTCATATCTATCAGATAAAAAGTATAAGACAGGTTAAATTATTTTTCCAGCATTCAGTCTCTGTTTTCTTTTTCATTTTGATGTGATCATTTAATTATTTAAAAAAACTAATTGAAGTATATTGTAGTCACTACAGTTTTGATATTTTTCTAAATTTAAATCTCATTTTTAAGATGAATTATTGATAATTACTTAGAAATATATGGCTTCTCCTTAATTATCACATGCAAAACACTCTAGGTAAATACTTTTAATTAATATAAGAATGCCAATTTTCCAAATATATTTGTATTAACTTAAATGACATGCAAAAAATGAATTAATTAAAAAGATGACCATTATTTGTCACAAAAATACTATGTGAAGTATATTCTCAAAAAGGATTTGGAATATTTTTGGATTTTCTAGAAATAATTGTTTACAAATAATGCTTCCTTTATTTATTAATTAATTATCAATTTTCACATTGTTTCTTAGCATTCACACATTTAAGACACATCATTTGGGGGAGGGAGAAGCCCCTGCCTTCTAAGAGAATGAGAACGAGACAAAGCAATTGAATGGCATGGGTTTTCATGAGGGCTTCACACTTTGACAGGCACTGCTTCTGTACTTCTCATTAGATAGTGACCAGCCTAGTTTAAGTTTTAGGGTTTTGTTTTTTTATTTTCTCTAGTAATTATATTCCAAAGAAGGACCTGAAGTGTTTCATTAAAATCCCTCTTATTGCCTTGCAGCTTTAAAAACAGTAATCTTTTCGTTCTTATAATCATGAAGACAGAGAAAGAAAACATGCAGCTTCTATCACTAAAAAGCAATTCCAGAATAAGGGAGAAACTCCCCTCCCTGGACACATTAACGTCAGTGGCAACACACTACAGAAAAAACGGGAAAAAGAAATCAGTTCAGGGAGTTGGGAGATGCAGCTGAGCTTACCTGAGCACAGACTCCAGGAGGTGAAAGCCAGGAGGATCAGGCAAACCAGCTGGATTTTCATTCCTGCCATCATCTCCCTGAGATTCCTAGGCAGCCAAGTTCATCAAGTCAGACAGGCTGCAGGGGGGCTCTCTGTGGTGCTTCCTCTTGCCTTCAGCTGATTCTGAAAGTGGCTGAAGTATGAGAGTTGCTTGGACCATCCCCTATATATATACATGCAGGCAGGAGGATGATGTCATGAGAGCATACAGGGCTTATCTCCTCAGGATGTGCCCTCCCTTCATCTCCATTCCTCCTCCACTTCCTCCTCCTCTCCTCAGCCCCCCTCCTCATCTCCCCTAATTGCAGCTGCTCCTCCAGGCTTCTGACACACAGAAGGAGTCATTCCTAAGCAAATGGAATTCCAAAGAGAACATACTAGAAAAGAACTTTCAGCACAATTGTTTCCCCATTTCCTCTCATGCCTGGACTCCAAGAAGTTGTCATTTTGATGTTGTGAAGCATGAGATCTGACATTTCTAGTACCAGGAACATCTCGAGGATGAATGACTGACCTTAGTGATTCTTTAGATTTGGAAGTTCTTAAAGAGTAAGGGTTCTTTTCTGATAGCTCTTATAAAACGTTTCAGTGTTTTGTGGTTTCAAGGCTAATATAGGTCTGAGATAACACATGCTAAAAGAAGGAAAAAAGTAAAAGATCAGCAGAGAATCAGTTGAAATATCGGGGCCAAGCAAAATAATTTAGATTAAGAAAACAATTAAAAAATACTAGTAACCCTAAGGAATGGGATATTATTTCCTAACAAATAGAAAAGTTTGTTTATAATAAGTAACTGGGAGAATAATTTAATTATGTATGCTGACTTTGGATTACTTTTCTTAGGAAAACAATTTCATGTTTTTAAAATCCAACTATAAATTATGTGTTAACAGGTGGGAAATGCATTATTGTATCACTGATTGCTATTCTGTGATATTTTCCTCTTTTTCTGTCATCCTTGATGCTATATCCTATTCGTTGTATAACCTCCTTCTCCCTGGTTTTCACCATTATATTACATTTTTTCCCTTTTATAGTCATAAAAATGAGACTGAACTTCAAGAAATGAGACAATCCTAAATAACCACCATTCACCAAAGTCATATTTCTAAGAGAGTGCCTTCATGTGTTTCATTGTTACAAAAAAAATTGCTCAAAATGTCTTTTGGAGTGAAGCAATCCTCTTGCATTAAGTATTTCAGGATACATGGAGTCATCTGCTGTCGGGAATGTGAGTATTTGAAAGTAAAGGTGTCAGGCTTGTTCACTCTTTAAATATATCCATCATATGGTAACAAGCAAGAAAAAAATCTGAATTGATTTCTACAAAGAGCTAATTTATATGGCATATGTCTATGAGATTAGCTTCTCCGTTTTGCCTTAAACTTAAAGAAAGGAATTAATTTGAAACATTCAATAATTATTTAAATTAGCAGTCATTCATATAATGTAATGTTTAGGAATTTAATAATAGCTGATGCTTTTGTTACTTTTATTTTGCTTTACAAACTTGCATACAACACAATATTAAACATGACTCACTTGAGCAAAGTTTTATGTAAAGTCTAATTAATTGACAAAGAACTGTAAAATATATACGTCTGCAATTTTATCTCTTGCCACTAGGGGGAGGAATAGAAGTTTAAAAGGCTTTATGTTCACTTAACTGATGACAGAATTATGAGAATTTTGCTTAATTGCTTCTCAATATCAGAGCATCTTTTTGATAGAAACCTTTTAAAGCCACTTTTAAGGAAATTACACATTCTTTGCATGACATGTAAATGTGTTGTTTTTGTCTTCTTTAGAATTAGAAATACAAAGAATAATCTTTTAAGATGTGTGCAAGAGGCCTAATAGTAAAAAGGAAGTGTGATTCCTATTTTCAAGTGATTTCTTTAATATGAAGCTAAGGGAAATGTCAAAATTTATTCCTAATTAGAAAAAGAGGGCAGAATGAATAAGGAAATTAATTTTGTTTTAAATATATCACTTGAATATTAGTTGTTAATGTGAGAATTATTTTAAATAAAGAATATATTTGATAAAAATGGGGAAATGTCAAATGACTCAAAATCAAATAGATGCTATGCACTGTTTTTCTTTAGGGAAAAAAGTATGTACAACTTTTTGTGGCCTCTAATTGGTATTTTTAAAAAATCTGTTATTCTTTTCCTTTTCCTTTCAATGCCTTCAAGCCACAGAAAAACAAAAAGTAAATAATTTATTTTAGAAGGTTACATTACCTGTAGATACTTTCAAAAAGTATTCAAGGGCCCTGCCAGGGTGGCTAGTGGTTGAGTGTTGTTGACCCATGCACCAGGAGGTCACTGGTTGAATTCCTGGTCAGGGCACATGCCCAGGTTTCAGGCTTAATCCCCAGTAGGGGGCATGCAGGAGGCAGCTGTTGATGATGTTTCTCTCTCATTAATGTTCCTAACACTCTCCCTTTCTCTCTCTAAAAATCAATAAAACATATACAAAAGTATTCTAGGAAGCACCCAAATTATGTAATTAATGCAGGACTTTAGGCACCTTTCTATGGAGATGAGTAAACTATTTTTATTTTAAAGACTTTATGCCTAAAATACTTCTAACTTTTATTTAATTCTTTAAATAACTCATTAAGAGCTTGAACATTACACTTTGATCATCTTCATGTATTAGCCTTCAGTCTGAGGTCAGCATGGAGTGGCTAATTCCTGGTTTTATCTTTGTATTTAGATAAATAGGTATATCTGGATGCATATAGCTTGCAGCATCTCTATCATATATAGATAGCTGAGCTTCTACTGTGACTTAATTAGGCATTTATTAGCTAATGACTTAAAATAATCAACAGAGGTACCTAAAGTATTGACGATTGAAAAGAGTGGCCTGTAAACTTCTTTAATTTGGAGATGGGAAAGCTCAACAACTACTTGATGAATAGTGGTTCTCTGGTTCCAGGTGATTCCTTCCTATACCTTTGTTACTAATGTTGTGGCCCCAGCCCATAACAAAGAAACAGAATTTCTGGAGGATGAGGCCCAGAAGTCAGGATTTTAAAAAGATTCCCAGGTGATTCTAATGTGCAGTCAAGGTTGAGAATCACTGCTTTAGAGGCTTCATCACCCCATTAACAGATTCCCAGTCTCTCCAACCTCTTTATAGCTTAATACCTAAAACTGAAGCAGCCAGTGGGGTTTTACCATTTGGAATCTGCCCTCCATCATCTCTTTGACTTCCTTGTCTCTTGCTTCCTGACCTTCTCTCTCATTTCTATCTTACGGCCTAACCCAAGTAAACTTTTCTAAGTTTGAGTCCGGAGAGTAGTCTCATCTACTTCTTACTATTCCCAGTGTCTGCTAAGTGCTCATTCATTTGTAGTACATTGAGAAGAGAAACAGAACCTGCCACCCCAAAATATGCCTCTTTGGCATCTTGAATATCTTGAGCTGGCTACTTTTAAGAAACAGCAAACACAGAAGAAGTCTGAAAACCAGATAAGGCCTGTTTACATTAATTAAGCATTTCTAGTTTTGTCAGGGTGCTCTCTGTACCTGAATGAGAAGAATGGCTACATCTCTGGAAACTCTTATCAGGGAAGAAGGCAGATCGGCAATACAACCTTTACCTCGTGTAGTGTGCTTTTCTTGGTAACCTCCCGTAACTGGCTTTCTCCCACTCCTCACCATTTTCTTTTGTCCTTAGCTGGAGGTGGTATTTAAGGTAGTAGATTAGGCCATTTTGGGGAGTTACTCAGTTTTTCTGGGTATCTTCCAATACAGGAGGCATACTTCCCTTTTTTTTCTCTTGTTAATCTGTCTTTTTATGACAGAGGGGTCTCATAAGAACCTAGAAAGGTAGAGAGAAAGTTATTTGTCCTCCCCTACAAGTGTAAACTTCTAGAAGCGAAGGACCTCCACTTATCCGTGTACATCCTCTTCTTCCAAGACTTACAATCCTTAAGTGGCCAATATGTGCTTACTAAATTGAATCGAAACACTGATTATTTTAAATTTCTAACATATTTTTCCATGTTTCTAATTGCAACATTGCTTTCAGCTACGTCTCTAATTTCAGTGATTTAAAACTTTTTCTTTTATCATTAATCTTAATGTTTGATGTGAACCTTTAGCTGTCAGTTTTCTCTGCCCTTTCTCTAGTCATTCTTCTCCCCTCTGACTGGATACGTCAGCTTTAAAAAGCTTTTTAAGAACAGAACCCAGGGATTATGTGCATTCATCTGCTGAGTGCTTAGGATAAACTGTGGGCTTACACCATTCCTCTAAATGAGTCTCTGGTTTGGAACCATAGCCCTGATTCATCTGAACAAACAATGATCTTAATCTCTTTGTAAACTCAATTGGTTTTTCTGTTCAATTAAAGTCCATTTTCTAGATGTACAGATAGTTATATGCATGCACACACCACACCCACATATACTCTCTTCCACACGAAATGCATATGACCCAGACCTTGGAGACTTAGGTAAATATAAACCAAATATCCAATTTCCCAATCTATATGTAATCATGCTTTGCCCATAATCTCTATAAATACCACATTCATTTCCCTTTGGCTCTCTCTGTCTCTGCTTTTGCATCTTTATAGCCAATCAACTTGGAAAAATTGATAATAGATTTTTGTAGCTAAAACATTTTGCCACTTTGAATTTTATAAGTCCAATTACAACACAAGCTTTGGCTGGGATTCACATGGCAACAAGTTGCCGTTAAGGGAAAATGTTCCATGTTGTAGTTACTGCTGATGTCACTTATAATCTTGTTTCTCTAAAAACAAATGCATGTCTACAAAATTACTACCCACTATGTGTAATGCTCAAGTAATTTTCCGTGTAAACCTCATGTTTATAAGACTAAAATAAAAGCATCGCGGAAAATAAAACAAAACAAAAACCCACATTCCTAACAGTTTTCTCTTCTTTTCTCAGTTTTACAAACTAAAGTGCAATGATACAATGAGATGAATTTTTATTGAAAGAAAATCCACCCTCATTTATGTTACAATAGCTAAGAAAATATCTCTGGCCTCTTTACTACCCAAATCAAACAGATGCACTTGAGCTAGCAGGAGCAGATTCAGAGAAACGCTTCCTTTATCTTAAGAAGATCTTAGATGTTAAATTCAGAACACAGTAGTTTATATTATTAGCACTTTGTGGTTTTATCTCCCCCCGCCCCGACTTACTAATAG